CCACCACCACATACTTAAACCAACATTTTGACCAAGGAAAATAGAAAAACAGAATCCTTCCCCTTCAATCTACAAGAGGAGGAGGTGTTTTGTTAGGCAATCTCCGGCCAAGCACAAAGCTGGTGAACAAATGCAGAGCTCGTGAAGGCTGCGAGTACGGCACCATATGAGAAGCGCCTCTTACGGTTGCGAATGTCAGTAGATTCCCATACTCTGTTGCCCATCCTCCAACCTACACCTCATGTCAACAAGGTAGACATAAGTACCCAGCCTAACAATTTGTACAAAGAAAACAAAAACTGAAAACCGAATTAAAACACACTTAATTATACATAAAATATATAGTTTTTGTTTTATATAAGGATTTGTTAATGCTCTTTATATGAAAAAAGCTGAACCAAACGGAACCAACTCTTTTCAAACAAAGCCAAAACAAAAGCCGAAAATTGAACCATACAAAAAAAAAACCGATTACGCAGAGCATATTTAAGGATTCTAAGTTTCTAACCATATTGAACAAACCTGTCCTTTGTGGAACCAAGCTCCATAGGGAACTGTTGTGTTGAAGTCGAGATCGTCTGCAAGTTCTCGTACCAGAGTCCTTGAACCGAGAATTGGAATTACAGAATCTTCATCCCCACTACGTTTTTTTTTTTTTTCGATTTGAAAGAAGATCATTGTGTGTTTAACGAAAGTAGAAGAAGAAAAAAAAATGGTGTAAATAATCAGTGGAATAATTGATTTACCTGAAGACCCAAACAGGGATTTTGCTCTTGACGATTCTCTTAAGAATGGGAAGTATGTTGGTGTTCCCATCAGTATAATTGTAATTCAAGAGGCTGGGAGGGTCACACATTTACTTAGAGTTTTTAACATAAATGATGAGACTGATATAAAGAGATGAATAAAATTATATACCCGCTGCACATAGACCATGGATATGTCAGTTGAGTTCGGTTAGCATGGAGAGCCTTTTGAACTTCAGGGAGAGTGAAATACAATTGTTCTTCATAGCTCATGCACACGTCCACACCAACGCTCATCTGTGTACCCTATTTAACAACCAGTTTCAAACACAATTGATTCACATTTCTTGATTGCAAAAAATAGAGTAAAATTGCGACTGTTTCAAACCACTTATTTATGTGTGAAAACAACACCAAATTGCTTTTCAGATTTAAAAAAAAAAAAATTAATCAAACAAAGTAGGTTTGCAAAAAAACACCAGAAGGCCACACGTAAACAGAGTAATTTCTTGTACATTTGCGATTACCAAACAAATTTTGTATGAAATAATTAAAAGTTACAGTTTCATTAAGACAATAAACAAGCTCGTTACTTTTTTTTTTTTTACCATTTTCTTGAGTCTGAGCTCTTGTTCGACGAGGGAAGGGTAGCAGATGTCAAGTAGGACGTCATAGTAATTGACGTATCGAGTGATGATGGTTCCGGCTTCACTCATTGCGGCTTCGCAGGATTTGCTTATGTTGTGTGAACCTGAGAAGGTGTAATCTTCAAAATCGCATTGGTTCATGATAGTGAGGCCGAGTTCATCAGAGATCATGCCGTGTGACCAGAAGAACTCATACGTCGCTGGAACATCCCGGTTGAGCTTCAGAAGCGGATTCCCAAGCTGATCAAAACAGAGGGAGTCAAAAGCAGAGCCAACGAAACAGAGATGTCTAAGGTCTTTTTTTATTGCTTACTGCAATGCCTTTGAGATTGAACTTGAATCCATTTGAGCGTCGTGCGTTGTATTGGAGTATAACATCTGCCAATTGAGGTACATAGTGTCCTGCGTAGCTTTCGCCGGAGAGAAAGAGTTGTCGAGTCTTGAAATCTGGAAACTTTTTGAACCATCTTAGCATGAACACCAGCATATCCTTGGCTGTCATTTAAAAATAACCTTTATTAAGGCGTAATAGTGATAAAAAGATGGTTAACCATTTGAAGATCATATAATACCTGTGGATGCATCGCCAGTGTTGTAATCGGAACTTCTGTTCGAATAAGACCATCCTACTCCAGCCGGTGATTCCACAAACAATAGATTTGAGGCTACACCAAAATATATTAAGTTAACAAACTGAAGTAGTGACGATAGACATAACGAAACTAATATTTTCAGTTTAACACCATCTCCAATGTATTTCTCTATTTTCTACTCTATTTTAGGA